TGCCTTTATTCCTTTTTCTTATCTAATGGATATCTTCACTGGATATATTACTCTTGGCTCATAATTTCTGTCTTTCAATAGTTTGAATATTTGATTCCACTTCCTCCTGACTTGTAGAGTTTCTGCTGAAAAGTGTGATGATAATCTAATAGGATTTCTCTTATAAGTTACTGTTTTCTTTTTCTCCCTGGCTGCCTTGAGAATTCTTTCTTTATCACTATTTTTTTTTCTTTGTCATTAATTTTTGACAGCTTCAATACAATGCATCTTGGAGAAGACCTGTTGGGACTGAGGTAATTAGGTGTTCTGTTTGTTTCTTGGATTCAAGGATCCAGTTCTTTTCACAAGTTTGGAAAGTTCTCATTGACTATTTCTTTGAATATACTTACTCTCTGTTCCCTTCTTCTTCACTTCTCCTTCCAGTATGCTCATTATTCTTAAGTTGCTCTTTCTAATAAAGTCAGAAAGTTCTTGTAGAGTTCTTTTGTATCTTTTAACTTTCAAGTCTCTCTCGTCCTCCATGTTTGTCATTTCCAAATTTCTGTCATCAACATCCTAATTATTTTCTCCATCTTATCAGCTATATTACCTAAGCTGGTTATTTCATTCTTCATTTCTTTTATTCAGTTTTTAATCTCTAGAAATTCTATTTGGTTCTTTTTTAAAATTTAAATCTCTTCAGTAAAATGGTATTTTGTTCTTTGATTGTGTTTCTGAGTTCATTGAACACTCTGTGTTTTCTTGCATTTTGTTGATTTTTTTCAGAACAATAATCTTGAATTCTCTGTCATTTAAGTCACATATTTCCATGTCTTTAAGTTCATTTTCTGGAGAGTTTTCATTTTCTTCTTGAGCTGCCTTTTTACCTTGGTTATTCATGGCAAATAATGAATTATTATTTCTCTGCCTGGGCATCTACAGGAGTGGGTTTTGCAGCAGGTTGATATGAAGAGGATTTTCTTTTGCTTTCCAGTAGGTGTTGCTGAAATCTTTTATTTTCTCTCATGCTGTAGCCTTGTATTTTCTTTCATACTGTGGTGTTTTATTCTCTCTTAAACCGTTTCCACTTCTCACATGATGGGGTTTCTTTGAAGGTGGAATTCTCCTCTGTGAGCAGGTTGCCTGGATCTTTGGGAACCACCTCCATGGGAAGATGTGAAGGGTGATAGAGTTCTGAAATCTCAATGCTGCCCCTGACACCTAATGTAGATCCTGTGTGTCTCTGTGGCTCTAGTTTCCCCTGCAGGGATTCACCCTGAAAAGTGAGGGCAGTGTGCGCTGTGAGAAGTTGCTGGTGCATTTGTGGCTTCGAGCAATGGCGACTACCAGCCACAGCTGTCTCGTCCCTACAGCTCTTTCCCTATCACCGGAATTAGTCACAATCTTTGCATCTGTGGCTGTGGAAATGTTGCTGCAGGTGTCAGTGCTGCAGATATTCTGTTCTTTCATCTGACACTGCTACTGTTTCTTCTGGAGCTTGCTTCTAACACTGGGAGGGTGGGGTAAGGTGAGCTCTTGGGAAGGGGGGTGATCAGCCAGGTTCTGTGTCTTTGTTTTCTGTTTTCTGCCTGGCAGTGAAAGCCTAAACCACAGTTCTCACCTGAGGTCTCTGGCCTGAACTCTGGGGTCAGCCGTATTATATGCTGATTCCTCAGGCAGTACTGTAGGCCATAGGGGTTGCACCTGCAGCCTGGATTCTCCCCTCTTCCAAGACCACAGTAAGCTCTGGTCTGCATTCTGTGGCCACAGCCCATATCTTTGCACTTCCCCTTTCCCTCCTCCCCTGTTCCGATTTTCCCACCTTCAGGTGATTAGATGCGTGAGTCTCTCCAAGGTGCTTGTGTGTTGTTTAAGTTATCCTTCATTACATTATATCTATTCAATTTGTTGTACTTCTAGGGGAGATTTCAAAAAGCAGTCCTCACGCTGACATTTCTGTGATGTAACCTATACCCATGATTCTTCTGTTGCTCTTTCTGATAGAGTCAGAAAGTTCTTTTAGAGTTCTTTCATTTCTTTTGACTCTCAAGTCTCTCTTCTTCCATCTGTGTCATTTCCAGGTTTCTATCTTTGATATCACTAATTATTTTCTCCATCTTGTCAGCTCTATTTCCTAAGCTGGGTATTTTATTCTTCATCTCTTTTTTATTGAGTTCTTTAGCTCCAGAACTTCTATTTGGTTTTTGTTTGTTTGTTTTAATTTCAATTTCTTTGATAAAATATTCATTTCATTCATTGGTTTTGTTTCTGAGTTATTAAACTGCCTATTTGAGGGTTTTTTTGCATCTTGTTGAGTTTTTTCAAAACTGCAATCTTGAATTCTCTGTCATTTATGTTGCATATTTCCACATCTTTAAGCTAATTTTCTGGATTTTTTTCACCTTTTTTCTGAACTGCCTTGTTACCTTGGTTATTCATGGCAATTAGTGAATTATTATTTCTCTTCCTGGGCATCTACATGAGTGGATTCTACAGCAGGTTGATATGAAGTGGTGTTTCTTTTGCTTTCCAATACGTGTCACTGGAACATTTTATTTTCTCTCACACTGAAAGCACTTTATTTTTTCCTGCACTTTCCCAGCTTCTTTCACAATGGTAGGTTTTCTGGGAGGTGAGCTTCTTCTCTGTGATCACATTACCTGGGTCTCAGGGCACTGCCCCATGAAAAGGTGTGGTGGGAATGAGGTTCTGAGCCTTTGAAACTTCAATGCTGTCCCTGCAGCCCGATGCAAAACTTGTGTGTCTCAGAAGCTCTAGTTGCCCCTGTAGGGATCAGTCCAGAAAGGTGGGGGTGGGGTGCACTGGGAGAGATGGCAGGTGTACTTGTGGCTCCAAGCAATGGTGACTTTTAGCCCACAGCTCTCTCACCCCTACAGCTCTTTCCCTGTCACTAGAATTAGTCACACTCTGCATCTGCCACACTGGGACTCTCTCCCCAGTTCTCAGGGCTGTAGATGTTCTGTTCTTTAATCTGATACTGCTACAGTTTCTTCTGAAGGCCACTTCTAACACTGGGAGGGTGGGGGTAGGTGGCCAGGCTCTATGTCTTTGTTTTCTGTCTGGCAGTGAGGGCTTCAATTGCCATTCTCACCTTTACCACCTTTATCTTCATAGAAAAGCTATACTAAAGTTGACCTTTGTACTATCTTCAGTTTGAAAGATTGGGAATTTTAAATTTAAAATGTAAATAAACAGAGACACAGTTATGCAACACCACATTAAAATCAAAGTCCACAATGTGAGGCATTTTAAAGACTATTAATCTTAACTGTTTAAAAGTCAATATCCAATTTTTACTTCTGGCCATGATGAGTAAATAATACAAGACTATCTCATCCTCCATAAATGAATAGACAACAGGACAAAAATATACAAACAACTGTTTTCAGACAATGTGAACAGGCAGCACAGGACTGACTTTCCTAAGAGAAAGAAAAGAAATGAGGCAAGCTCTCCAATCATCTCACCTTTCTGTGGCAGGGCAATTTCTGGGCCACTACAGGATGATGATGGGGGACTCAAGCAAAATGCAGCTGCTTCACTGAGATAAGCAGACAGAACTGGAGTTCAGGAAATTTTGAATGGGTGAAATTTGTGGGAGTAATGAAAAGGAAGGAGATATGCAAAGAAAGAACTCCAGGAATGTTAATACGTTTTGATTATGTTTTTGGCTGAATACAAAGCCACACATAGGAGAGATTCCATGATGCCAGTTAGAGTACCCCTCAGGAGAAAACACTAGAAGATGAAGAGAACTGAGTTCCATGCAGCAGAAGCTGGTGGAGGTCTGAGGACAGGTGAGGAACAGGTGTTGCCCATCCTCATGACCCTCACCCCAAATTTAGGGTATTGAAATAGAAAACAAATGGAAATTTTGAAATGAGTACATTCTTTGTCCATTTAGTATTTACTCAAAAATAGGAAGAAAAAATTCCAGAAGTGTCTGAGTTTTCCTTGAATTGGCAAAATTCGGTGTTCTTCTACCTGTGGAAATGGGTGTAAGCCATGTCAGATTTTTTTAATTAAAATTTATTGGAGTGACAATGGTTAGTAAAATTATATAGATTTCAAGTATACATTTCTTTACTACATCATCTATATATCATATTGTGTGTTCACCACCCAGAGTCAGTTTTCCTTCCATCACCATGTATTTGACCCCCTTTACCCACTTCTACTATCTCCACTCCCACCTTACCCTCTGGTAACCATTAAACTATTGTCTGTGTCTATGAGTTTTTGTTTCTTTATTTGTTTGTCTTGTTCCTTTATTGTTTTCAGTTTTATATCCCACATATCAGTGAAATCACATGGTTCTCGACTTTTTCTGTCTGATTTATTTCACTTAGCATATTGACCTCAAGATCCATCTATTTTGTTACAAATAAAACCATTTCATCTTTTCTTATGGCAGAGTAGTATTCCATCATGTCCATTTTAAAGACTTAATACTGTTTTATTTTTTTGCATACCAGAATCATGGAGACCCCATGGAGGATATAAGATAGAGAAGTAAACATTACAAGCCAAGAGAATGGAGAAAAGCTCCTGAAGTGGGCACTATTTCAGAAACTAGCAATGGTATGGTCTCAAACTATACCCAGGAATGATGTGAGAAAGAACATCCTGCTATCATCAAGGCCACTTGCACATGAAGGAGACTTTTTTCCCTTCTTTCTAGAAGCCTTAAGCTGACTATCCAGCATATGCTATGCCCACTACATTTTAAGTCTATGTTGTCATCTCTCTATCTCAATCTCATGTGAATACCCCCCACCTCTGGCCCCCACACATACACATACCTAGAAGCTTGATGGGATCTCCTGAAAATAAATCTACAGTAGTGGAAAGCATAAAGTTCTATGTGCTTTAAAGATAATGGGTGAGATGAATATTGAAACAAGCAGAGTCAAGACTCCAGAGCTGAAAGAGTAGCTGGTGGAAACCCTGTTACTGAAGAGAAGGGAAGGAATCAGTCCAAACACAAGCTGTGTAAATACCTCAACAAGCATGGAGATTCCAGAATAGTCAAAAAAGGTCAATCCACTGCAATCCAGGATTAAAGAGCATTTTTCATTTGGGCAGGCCTGTGAAACTTCTGTAGGAGGAACATAGACTTGAGTTAGGTGGAATTCTTAGAGATTTCTGCTGCTGATTTTGCTAAAGCATGGGAAGATAACAGTGGTCTCATGTTTAATAAGACTAATCCAAAACACATTTTAATCTTTACATTTTTCAATTAATTAATAATTATTTCTAAACTCTCTGATTTTTTTTGTTCAAATATTATTTCAGGTAATTATTACATAACTCAGAAAAGAAAATGGGATAGGTTAATTACCAGTATCATTTCACAGATAGACTGACTGAAGCTCAGCAAGGTTAGATGATTTTAAAAGGATGCCTGGCAAGTTAGTGTCAAACAGACTAGAGTCGAGGCCCCTAGACTCTGCATAGTACTCTTTCCACAACATCACACTGTTTCCTTCATACATATGTCTGGAGGTAGAGCCCTGTTTTGTGGTACCTGCAGCTTATACAATTTTGGAGTCATAATTTAACAAAAAGATTCATTGATGGAGCTTGTCTCTTGGCCTTGCAAAGGATCTGTGTGAGGGTCCCTGAAATTAAGCTTCAATTTGTACATGGTAAAACTGCCTCTGAAAGCACCTGATGGGAAAAATAAATTATTTTCCATAGGAGTTCATGACCTCTTTTTCACTGATGTCCTCAGCACCAGACTTTTCTCATGTGAAAAGACATATTTCTAAACAGTAACAAGCCATGTCTGAGGTCCCTTGATGTAGTTTGAGGCTCTCAGAGCAGATCCAGCAAGCTAAGATTTCTCCACCATTAGTAGGTAAAATCAATCAAATAAATTACAATTGACTAATCACTTATAAAATTCTCTGTAAAATAAAATCATTCTTAATTGGCATAGTTTTTCCACTTAAAATTTCAATGGTTTTCCCATATAGTGATTACAACAAAGTGAGAATATGGTTGTTTCTCAATTAGCATTGAAGAGAAGTATAAGGAGAAGTGTGTGTTTTTAAGAACTGATGCTTAGAGGTAAAAACAGGTAAGCAGAACATACAAGGTAGGACAATTAAGTTCATGAACTCATCCTAGAAAAAGTACTACATATCTCATTGCTGAATATCACATTAGTCACTTTCAAAGTACTCCCCTTGGGAAGCTGTGCCCTGATGCCAGCACCTAGTTCACCCTTCAAAGCAATTTTGGAACTCTTTTTCTGGAATGGCCATCAGAGCTGTCATCTTATTATCCTTGATGTCCTGAATATCATCAAAATGTCTTCCTTTCAGTATTTCCTTTATCTTCAGGTAAAGAAAGAAGTCATTGGGGGCCAAATAAGGTGAGTAGGGAGGGTGTTCCAATGCAGTTATTTGTTTCCTGGCTAAAAATTCCCTTATAGATAGTGCTGTGTGAGCTGATGCATTGTCATGATGCAAGAGACATGAATTGTTGGTAAAAAGTTCAGGTAGTTGGGCAAGCTGAGTGGCTCAGTTGGCTAAGAGCTCGCTCAAGAGTTTGAGCTCTGAGCAACAGCAGTTCGAGTCCCAGCCCGAGCTGAGCAGCTGATGAACTGCCAACAGGTGGCAGGATGGCTCAGTTAAAAAAAAAAGTTCAGGTAGTCTAACTTTTTCATGTAGCCTTTTCAGCACTTCCAAATAGTAAACTTGTTTAACTGTTTATCCAGTTGGAACAAGTTCATAATGCATAATCCCTCTGATCTCAAAAAAAGGTTAACAACATTGTTGCCACAAGTTCACAAACATAATTGTCAGAGCTTGTATTTAAGTGTTTCAGGCATTTTTCATGCTTGTAATAAAGTTTTTCATCTTCATCCTGTGTAGGTTTATACATCTTTACTTAAATTTACTTTTAAAAGAGAGTAGGATGAAAGAGTAGAAGGATGAAGAGGAAGAAGAAAACGAGAAGAAGGAGAAGAGGAGAAAAAAGGAAAGATGGAGGAGAGAAAAAGGAGGAGGGGGAGGAGAGAATAGGATTAGAGAAAAGAGAGAAGAAAGAAGAGAGAAAAGGAGGTGAGAGAAGTACAGAGCAGGAAAGGGAGGAAAAGGACAGGAGGAGAAAGTGGGAAGATGGAAAAAGAGAAGGTTGGGAGTGAAGGGAGAAGGAAGACGAGGAGGAGAGAAGAAGAAAGAGATCAGAGGAGGGAGGAGAGAATTTCATTCTGTGGTCTCTATTCAAGTCAGAACACTTATTTATTATTATTTTTTAATTCTAACTCACCATTGCAATTATCATTGGACAGAGAATTGAGCAATGTGTTTTTTTCATACTGAAAAGAAAACAAATATAAAGAATAATAACATTATAAAAATTCACTTCTGTTCCTGAAAAAGGAAGATTATACTTTCTCCATAAATAACAAAATAATAGTTTCCAAAAATTAGTTTTCCTAACCTTTTTTCAGATTCATAAATACAACAAACTGAAACAATAAAATGATAGTTAGCTCTAAATATAAATTCACTAAATAGATAATTTATGTTATCAAGTCAGACCATCATCTTTAGAACATTTTCTGCAAGACTAAATTTGTTTTGATTTTTTATCAGGAATTAAACACTTGCTTGTGTTTTTCATGTAATGTATCTAATCGGAAAGTAACCTCATTAACACAGCATTCTCTGAGAGAAACAGTCCCTAACCATATACCGTATTTCCCCATGTATAAGACGCACCTGTTTTAGAAAAATTTGGGGTCTAAAAACTGGGTGCATCTTATACAGTGGTTGTAGATTTCAAATGCCATAGATGGAACTGAAGGTGAGGCAATATATGAAGACAGTGATTCGTCATCAGACACCAATGAGGGCAAGCTAATGGTTGGGAGTTTTGACAGTGATGAGGAGTTGTATGAATTTTATGATGACTAAAACTTGAGTTCAATAACTTTATGTAATACAATACATTTTTTTTTCAAATTTTGGGCCCCAAAATTAAGGTGCATCTTATACATGGGAGCGTCTTATACATGGGGAAATACAGTAGTTCATATTATATCAAAGGTAACCGTTCATCTGATGCTCTGTGAAAATGCCTGATTTACGGAAATGCTGAAGAATGAAAATGACTCTGTATCCTACAATTAAATTTCTTTAAAATTGATAAATGATGTCCTAAAGACAGCATACTACTTCTCAAAAAACTATTATTGTTATTATTGTTCATGATGGTTATGATAATAATAATTGGCATTTCCTGAATACTTACTGTATTCCAAGGATTTTACATTAATAGTTTAATCCTCAGAACAATCCTATTAAGTTACTAATCTCATTTTCCATATGAAAATTGGAAAATTTCTAAATTTTGGAAGATTTCTAAAGATTAGAATGGTTAAATAACTTGCAAAGTCACAAAGCTGGTAAAAACTTTGGATAAAACCTGACTTTGTGCCATTCTAAACCTCATGCCCCAAACCACTAAATTATACTGCTTCTCCTATGAATTCAATTTTAATCTTAGAGGCTGACTACAGAATATCCATTTTCCCTTCTTGATACCTAGTGGTGCAGCTTATATATTTTAACTCTAGTTCTGCCAGTTATCAAACAATCTCTACTAGGTTATTTTATATTTGTAAGTCTCAACCTCCCTTTTTCTAATATTCAGGTAATGCTACTTACATCATGGGCCTGATGATGATTTAGTTAGATAGCTCAATAAAATGGACTAGCTCTTGAAAGACATTCAATGAATGTGAGTTTCCTTTCCCTCTTCTTTAAAGTACCTTGTCTGAAATCTTCTAGGCTGAAGAATTTCAAATAATATATGTAGATATTCTACCCACAAGGAGGTAGAAAATGACTCCACACTCTTTAATTATAAGCTGCTGTTAGAGACTTGCTTCCAAAGAGTACAGTATGAAAAAAGAAAAAATAGAATAACTTTACAGTGGAGAAGCCTGACAAATACTACCTCATCCAGGTGATCAAGGTCAACATTAACAGTGATAAATCATGTTGACATTGTGTACCCTTGATATAATGTGATAAAGATGGCACTTCAGTTCTGTAGTTTTCCTTCCAACATACATATCCCCAATCTTACAGTGAGAAGAGCACCAGATAAATCCAATAAAGGGGGAATTCCACAAAATTCCTGACCAGTACTACTCAAAACTGTCAAGGTCATCAAAAAAGGAAAGTCTGAGAAACTGTCATAGCCAAGGAGAACCTAAGAAGACAGGACAAATAAATATAATGTGATATCCTGGATGGAATCTTGGAAAGAAAAAGAACATTAAGTAGAGGTAAGGAAATCTGAATAAAGCATGGACTTTAATTAATGATAATGTATCCATATTTGTTCATTGATTCTATCAAATTTGTCACACTAATGCAAGATACTAATAATAGGGGAAACTGTGGTGTGGGATATATAAGAACTCTAATTTCTCAATTTTTCTATAAATCTAACACTGTTACAAAAAATAAAGTCTACCTAAAAATACCTTGTCTGAGCAAAAGAAAATTGTGAATAAATGGCAGATTGAAACTTCTATCACAGTGTGAGGCCACAAAATAATTATTAATATTATTAGTGAGTATCTGCAGCCTATACAATAATGAGCATGAATCCATGAAACACTAGCAGTCTGAGATCCTCCTAAGCTTCTGCACTCAGCAAGATACTTAATGATGATATATAGGAAGTATATCATACAATATAACAAAACAAGGGAACTTTTTTCAGTTTGTGTTTTGTAGGATGTGATTTTTCCTGCCCTGGGGTGTTTTAAATGCCCTTCCATCATCACCATTTGTTGAAAATGCAGCTATCAGAGAAGAGAAAATTGAGGTTCTGACAGAGCACTCCAATTCAAGGCAGAATGGTGGACTACCATGTGCAGCCCAATAAAAGGAAGCAATGTTGTAATAGAGATTAATTAATGCAGACTCATTACTCTAAAACTGAACTTAGAATAAGTGCATAGACCTTAAAACAAGTAGCTATCCTAGACAGAAAGTATGTGACAAGAATAATATGAGATGTCCAAAAGAGCATACATGCTATTCAAGACCATCCCTATAATCATTCTGAATAAAGGTTTATCCTGGGTTCCTCTGAGAGCAGGGCTTCCAGATTGCCATCTGAGTTCTTGCTGTATTCCTTAAAATTCACAGTATGAAAATACATATGATATTTGCATTAGTCTTATTATAGTGGAAGTCAGTTTCAACAAATTTTTTCTCACCATCATAAAGATTGAGTTAAAGAGTCTCATCACCTACCTAACCTAGATTCGATAAACTCTATTTGATTATTAGACTCAAATTTCTGAAGTCCCAAATAGGTAAAATCATATATGTAGAACCTCCTCACAGAAGGCTGCGTTAATGAATTTTATTTCTGATTTGACATGTTACAAGATAAACACATGCCAATTTTCAATTTCTGAAAAGAAGTTGGAGCAATCTTAGTCTTACAAGAATACATTCTAAAGAAAACATTATTGACCTTTAGTAAACAACTAGTTATAAAAACCTTCATGTCAAGTATTCTACTTGATATAATAAAGCCCACAAATTAGTATATCATTTCAAAAAGTAAATTCACATTTTGGTAAAGTAAGACCACAAACTTCTTGTGAGTTAATTAGGTTCTTTAAAACTCTAGACAAATTTTCCCACAATACTTTTATGCATGATGGTTGTGAGCTTAATGTCAGCCACAAAAACTTACCTCTCTCATAACACAATTTAACATTGCTAGAATGTGTACCATGGCTTTGTGAAAGAAACAGACCTAGTATCCACTTGAACAAGTACGAATGTATCTCCCAGTTTGACATGAAAGGAAGTTCTTCTCAACTCAAAACCACAGGTGGTGGTTCTTAATATCCTGATAAAAGTGACACCCTAAAGAGCATAGTGAGGGGGTAAAGAGAGGTCTGGAGATATATAGGCAGGACCATCTTCAGGGGCTTATGATCTGTGAAGTCACACAAGGTCCCATTTTTAGAAGCATCTCCCATTTGGCTTAATGTTCTGCTGTTACCATCTTGAAATTCTTAGTAATTGTTGAACAAGGAATCTCACATTTTCATTTGGCCTTCACCCAGAAATTTCATATCTGATCTTGTATCTAGGGTCTCTGTGGTATGAATCAGTATGAGGCCCAGATGCAGAACCATGAAGCTGCAAGAAGCAGGAATGTGGTGCTGAACAGCTCCTAACATACCAGAAAAGGGAGGGCCAAGGTCCCCTATGTACCTGAGTTACAGGGAGAGAGTATATGTATGATCAAGGATACAGAGCAAGAAGAGATCTTTGTGATCTAAAGTAGTAAAGAAAAGCTTCATGGAGAGGGTGCCTTTGCACTAAATCAAACTAATAACACTAGCTTCAATTTTATAGTATTGATTAGGCTAGGTAGTATTATAATTGCTTTGCATATATTAATCTATTACCTCATCTTAATTATTGATGAGGAAACTGACATACAAAAGATTCAATGACTTGGTTAAAGTCACACAGCTAACCCAGGCAGTTTAGCTCCAAAGTCTATGCTCTTAACATTGCAGAGGGCTTATGGATTCAAATGATTGCAGATAGCTCATTTACCTGAAATCATCCTGATGCACATTTGATTCACTATCTCGGTTAACTGAGATAACTTATGGAGATAAAGAATGCTGGCTAGCATTTTATAATAATGCTATCATAATGATAGCAATAATTTGTGCTTCTCTGAGTCATTTATTATAGTGTGTCTCTTTCAGAACTAGATCTAACTATTCTTTCTCTTGTTAAAAAAGTCCTTTAATTTAAGTGATTTGTCTTATTTATTCTTCTCAGGGGTATAGCACCTAGTACACATGTCCATTAGTATATGCTAAATGAATGAATGAATGAACAAATGGATAAACAAATAAACAAACAAGTGAGAGTGATTACCTAAGATCTAACTGTAAGAAACAAATAAAAAGCATAATACAATATATGGTTTTGCTGAGGGGAATACTTTTATAATGTATTATATTTATGTGATACACTTTTCAGTATCATGATGTAGGGTTACCTATAGCATGACATAATCATGAAACAGTTAATCCTACCTTGTTGATATTATCAGTTGACTGGTTGCTGCCATTTTCTTTTTGGATTATGTTCATTAGATCAGTATGAAAGTTTTTTGCATTCAGAAAAACAAGGGGGTTGTTCATTGAGATAATTTTCACCAGCTGCAGGCTTTCCTTTAGAAGAAAAGGAATAGATTCAGAGTCCTGAATAAGATAAAAAAGGATAACTCTATCCAATGAATCTAAATCTTACAAACTCAAATGTCATTCAATCATGGAAGAAATCTCTTAGCTGACATTTTAATTATTAAAATTTATTTAGAGAATTTCATACACTATGATGTTTTTAGGGAAAATATCTACTTACTTTTTACTAAGAAACATTAACAACGAGATGAGCCTGAAGCTTTTCAGAAAATGGCTCTTATTCCTACTTACTGGGTTTTTGGAAGGCAGCCTACCATATCCAAAGAGTACCAGAAAGGTTTATTCTTCCAAAAGTATCCCTTCGACTCAGTTTAAACATTAAAAATTCATTTATTTAAGCATAAGTATTTTAAAAACTAGAAATATGTCCTAAAGTTTCAAATTGTCAGTCATTTACCTCTAAATGTTATAGCTTTCCTTTGGCTGGAATATAACCTTACAAGTGACTCATAGTCCTAACTGGGAGAAAGAAACCTAAAGGTAGTAATTTAGGAATGTAATTTCACTTTGAGATGGTCTAGGTTACACTGGATTGCCAGTATTAGGCAAGGCATGCAGAAAAAGAGAAGGAAATTTTCAATACAAAAGGTATCTGCTTTAGCTATTTGCCCAGGTCTTCCTGTCAGCAACTGATGGTATGCAACTAAAATTGTCTTCTCCAGGACCTTTGAGGCAGGGGTCAGACCTAATAGTTGAGAGGATGACATGTTCTATGAAATAACTCCTTAGCAATGAAATAAAGCAATATCCCTTCAGGCTTTAGTATTCACATAAAAGACACAGAGAATAGTGAAGTATACAGAGAAAGAAAGAAAGAAAAAGAAAGAAAGAAAAAAAGAAAAAGAAAAAAGTAAAGATTAAGTATGTGAATTTGGACAATTCATTTAACCCTGTTCAGTTTCCTCATATTTAAAATTAAGTAAATATTTAGGGCTGGCCGAGTGGCTCATTGGTTAAGAGTTCACTTGGGAGCACGAGCTCTGAGCAGCAGGGTGACCAGTTCGGATCCCACATCGGCCAGTGACACTACTCCCTCTACAGCTAAGATGATGAAAAACAGCTCGACCTGGAGCTGGGCTGCCGTTAGAGGCCAGCAACAGCGTAGGCTGCAGTGGGGCTGCAGTGGGCTGCCATTAGCTACCGTGAGTGGCCGCAGCCAGCATGAACAGCCGGCAGAGCTACCGTGAGCCACCATGAGTGACTGTCCAATGGCCGGCGACTGATCTGACTCAGCCGGGAAAACAGCAATGATCACAATACCAACATGGGCCAGTGAAGCAACATCTTCCACAATTAGACTGAAGAACAAAAGAACAGCAACTTGTCTGTTCCTCTTCCCCATTTCCCCAACACTGTTCCCTCCCCCAATTTCCCAATAAAACCTTAAAAAAAAAAAAGAGTGTGAGCTCTGAGCAACAGGGACGCCTGTTTGATTCCCACATGGGCCAGTGAGCTGCACCCGAGCTGAGCTGCCGCTGAGCTGCCAGCAGATGGCAGTATGACTCAGCTTGTGAGAGCACATGCTCCTAACAAGGTTACCTGTTCAAAATGATGGGCTACACCCATCCACAACTAAAGACTAAACTTGGCACCTTGAGTTAAGCTGCCACCCAGGTGGCTCAGATAATAAAGAGCATGCTTTTAACAACGAGGCTGCTGGTTCATCTCCCACATGGGATGATGACTGCACCCACCCACAACTAATTGAACACAGCACCTTGAGCTAAGCGGCACAACTTGGAGCTGAGCTTGCTGCACCCTCCACAACTAAGATCAAAGGACAACAACTTGGCTGTTCCCCTTTTCCAATTCCCCAACACTGTCCTTTTCCGCTAATTCCCCAATAAAAATCTTTTAAAAAGTGAAATAAATAAAAATAAAATAAATAAAATAAAATTAGGTAAATATTTAAACTAGATAATCTCATGAAGTTCCTATAGCTACATAACTGATTATACTCTAGAAAGTGAGGAGATTGGCTACAAATAACTCAAGAAAACAAAAAGTCTTAAGTTACCAAGCCAAATATAATCAAGAGTAAATCTTTTTTTTTAACCAAAAATAAAACATTCTTTAGCCTGTCATATTTGGTTATCACAAAGCCCCACATCTTAGACTAACCCACTAATCATATCACATGATTGTGCCAATATATTGTTGTAAGTTAAGATAATATATTTTAAAGTTTTTGTTTCTTCATTTGTTTGCCTTGTTCCTTAGTTATTCTAACTTTATATATACATATCAGTGAAATTATATGGTTCTTGACTTTTTCTGTCTGACTTATTTCACTTAGCATAATAATCTCAAGATCCATCCATGTTGTTGCAACTGACTCTGGGTGGTGAACACACAATGTGATATATAGATGATGTATTACAGAATTATACACCTGAAACCTATGCAAATTTACTAACAATTGTCACCCTAATAAAATTTAATTTTAAAAAAGTAATATATTTTTTAAGTTAGGTATTTGTTAAACAATATTCAAATGGTGCCAGAAAAGAAATTCTCAGTGGGGTTGAATTCATTGAGTAGGAAAAGATCTCTCAAATTGAGAATGAGTGTTTCATGTGAAAGGGTGTGAAAGAGTGCATGAATGAAAGAAAGGGATGTCAGATCACCACCATACTTTAAATTAGCGAAAAAATTTACCCAACAGTTCATATTCGAATCATACTGTCTTAGTTTTGTTCTCTCTTATTTTTGATACAAGCATTAAATAACTAGTAAGGTGTAATATTCCAATAAAATTAAGATTTTCATGTGACACAGTTATTATTCAGGTGGGTGACTAGACTGTAAACAATCAAAGTTTAGAGACATGGAGAGATTTTTTGGGGGCATTTCCATCTTCCACAAATCCCCTCATTCACCACCCCATATGTTTAGCCTGAAAAAAAAAGTAAGAATTCAATAAAATTTATTAACCAGCAATCCCTAAGCTGAAAAATGATCAAACTAGAATTCCATTTAAAAGCTAATAATGCCAAGGCTAATGTATATAGCTGTATCTGTATGTGTGGGGTGGATACACAGAGGACTTTAGGGGCCCAAGAGAAAGTCTGGGACTTTTCATGACCACTAAATTCCCACAGAAAATTAAAAAGAAACAAAAGAAAAGAGATAGGTAATAAAAGAAAGGCAGCACCACCAGTGAAAAACTTGAGCCTGGGACAATTTCAATAGCTCTAAAGTTTAAAAAGCTGTCTATGAAGCAAATCTTTTATATTTATTAAAAACACAAGTTATTCCCCTGGGAGTCCTGGTGCTACATTCTACTTTCTGTCTATTCAGAAATACACTGGCATTAGTCCTGCTGGCAAAAGTTCAGTTCTCTCTGTTCTGGGGATAATCATGAGGCACTGGAACAAGTAAATGTGAAAAACATAGGGGAAAAAACGGTTAGTCAAATATTTTAAAACAGGTTCAAAGTGAGGACAATATTTTTAAATTGGCAAAAAATTGAAGGCAACATTTATTTTTACTCACTTGAAACTTACTTTGGCCATCCTTCAAAATAAGAAACTAGAAGTTAAACACAATTGGCCTGCTAATCATGAATAGGGAAAGACAATTAAGTTGTTTCCTTAAAAATGTGTCCACTGTGCAAGAAACCAATTCTACTGGCATTTCGTAATCATTGGACTTAATTCCTAATAATAATACAGTCTCATTATCTGTGTTAAAAAAAAACAACTGCTGATCAAAATGGTGGAGTAGGTAAATGCTGATTGCCTCCTCCTCCCACAACCATATCACAATTACAACTAAATTACAAAACAACCATCATAGATGAACAGAAGTCCTATATTAAGGATATACAGAAGAATTTAAGTTGAGACTGGTAAGAGGGGTGGAGACTTGGAGTAGAATGATCCTATACCCACATGTGGTGGTTAGAAATCAGGAGGGATATTTTGGCTTTTAAGGTCCCCCCTGAGGAGTGAGGGGCCTCAGCCCCACACCAGGCTCTCCAGCCCAGAGTTCCAGTGACAGGAAATGAAGTCCCAATAACTCTGGCTATGAAAACCAGAAGGATTATGATTTGAGAGGATTGTAGCTCAGTGAGACCAAGAACTGCTGAAGACCCAGTTATTCCTCTTAATGGGCCCAAGCACGGATTTACTCAGTGATGGAATCACACATTCTGAGCTCCAGCACTACAGCAGAAGCTCAAAAAGTGCCAGGAATATATGGAAAGGACCTGAATTATCTGGCTTTAGGATAAAGGCTGGAGGGGCAGCTTTTCTTGCAGACAGAAGTTCTGGGAAATACCATTGTTCCTTTGTTGAAACCTACCCCTACCCAGCCTACACAGGTAGATGGGCTCCACAGCTGAATCTCCATCAACTTGGATAATACCATTTGTTTCTTCCTGGTGACTACCTGAGATTCTGGCTCACCCAACTAGCATGCTCACGCAAGACACTTCCAGTGGCTTTTCCATATAAATGTCCTTTTGAGGCTCATGCTGTGGACTGTCTTAAAATATCTCAAAGGTTTATAAACCCCAAACAAGCAATATCTGGCCTCAGTGTGACCCATACCTGTTGCTGAGCAGCCCCAAGCCCAGCACTAGTGGCAGCAAGCCTCAGTTCACAAATTCTCCACTCCCAGGCATCTTCAATCCCAGCACAAATGGAAACCATCTTTGAAATCACTTTGTAGCTCATAACAGGTGGCCCTGGGCAGAGTACAGGCAGTGGCTAAACTTGGCCTGCACCGGAGCCCCTCCCAAGAAGCCCCAGAATGAACACACCCAGTGACAAGCTTCAGACCACATCACAAACTCTACTCAACCACCTCCACAAACAGCAGACTCAGAAGGCACCAGAGTTCCATTAGAGTGAATCCTGATCCATTGGGACAGCCCCTACACAACAGCTCCTCCACTGTAGACATGGCCAGTCCTCACAGCCAATAAGCTTAAGAGTCAATCCCTTCCAGTGATGTGCTAAAATCAAGGCCCAACTACAACAGGAAGGCACACACAACCCACACAAGAGACACACCTGGAGCACCTGAGTCAGGTGACCAGGACAAATGAGCTACTGGGCCCCAAATGGCACCTACTACCTAAGGTCACTCTACCAAGATCAGGAGACATAGCATCTCTACCTAATACATAAAAACAAACACAAGGAGGAATCAAAAATGAGGAGACAAAGAAACATGTCCCAAATGAAAGAACAGAACAAATCACCAGAAGAAGAACTAAACAAAATATGGACAAGCAATCTACCAGATGCAGAGTTCAAAACACTGCTTATAAGGATGCTCAATGATTTCAAGGAGAACTTCAACAAAGAGATAGAAAACATAAAAAAAAACAGTCAAAATGAAGAACAGAGTAACTGAAATAAAGAGTACACTAGAGAGAATCAGCAATAGATTAAATAAAACTAGGGTGAAATCAGTGATATAGAAGATAAGGTATCAGAAAACACCCAATCAGAACAGCAAAGAGAAAAAAAGAATTAAAAAATGAAAAAAATTCTGGGACAACAACAAGCATACCAACAATTTCATCATAAGAGTACAAGAAGGAGAAATGGGAGAGCAAGTAACTGAAAACCTATTTGAAAACTTAATGACAGAAAATTTCCCTAACCTGGTAAAGAAAATAGATACACAAGCCCAGGAAGCTCAGAGTCCCACACAAGATGAACCCAATGAGGCTCACAACAAGACCCATCATAAATAAGATGTCAATGGTTAAAGATAAAGAGAGAATCTTAAAAGCAGCAAAACAGAAACAGTTGTCTACAAGGAAGCTCCCATAAGACTGTCAGCTTATTTCTCTATGGGAATTTTGCAGGCCAGAAGGGATTGGAAAGAAATAGTCAAAGGGATGAAAAGCAAGGACCTACAACCAAGATTATTCTACCCACCAAGCTATCATTTAGAATCAAAGGATAAAGAGCTACCAGACAAGAAAAAGCTAAAGGAGTTCATCATCACAAAACTAGTATTACAAGAAATGTTAAAGAGGCTTCTTTAAGAAGAAAATAATAAAATGGAAATAACTACATCTCTATCAACAATTACTTTAAATGTAAATGAATTAAATGCCCTAATCAAAAGACATAGGGTGGCTAAATGGATTAAAAAAAAAAGACCCTTACATATGCTGCCTACAAAAGGTTCACTTCAGAACCAGACACACACAAAGACTGAAATAAGTTGATGGGAAAAGTTATTTCATGAAAATGAAAATGGAAACAAACAAACTAAATGAAGCTTGGGTAGTAATACTTATACCAGACAAAATAGACTTTAAAACAAAGGCTATAACAAGAAATAAAGAAAGACCCAGTAATCCCACTTCTGGATATTTACCTGAAGAAACTCAAAACACTACTTCAAAGGGACATGTGCATCCATATGTTTATTGCAGCATTATTTACAATAACCAAAATATGGAAGTAACCTAAGTGCTCTTCAAAAGATGAATGGATAAAGAAGAAGTGGCACATATGTACATTGGAATATTACTCAGCCATAAAAAAAACAATGAAATATTGCCATCTGCAACAACATGGATAGATCTAGGGGGTATTATGCTGAGTGAAGTAAGTCAGACAAAGACAAATGCCATATGATTTCACATGAAAATTAAAGAACAAAATAAATGAACAGACAAAACAGAAACAAACTCATTGATACAGAGAACATTTTGATGGTTGCCAGATGGGAGAGGCATTGGAGGATTGGTGGAGGGGGAAGTGGCTTAATAGGTACAAATTGGTAGTTATAAAATAACCATTGAGATGTAAATTATAGCATAGGGAATATAGTCAATAACATTGTAATAACGATATTTGGTGTCAGATGGCTACTAGATATATTGAGGTGATCACTTCCTAAGTTAAATAAATGTCTAATCGATCTGATTTTGCCTCATTCCCTTCCCTATTTCCTATCTTCCTCCATCATTTAATTTGAAATAGCCTATTAGTTTAGTTTAACTGTTTTATGGAACTTAGTAATAGAAAAGAGGTTTCCAAATGTTTGAATTAATCTGACCCATGATTCTACTGTGGACTGTAGTTCTATGATACATGATATCATCTCACTGAATGCTAATACAAGATTTTTGTTGTTGTTCTATTGATTTGTCGCATATGTCAATTGCCATATGTATGGTAATCACATATATACCATTGAAATTTATACTACTTAAAAATACAATTATCAGGCCAGTTGAGTGGCTTGTTGGTTAAGAGTTGGCTTGGGAGCGTGAGCTCTGAGCAGCAGGGCCGCTGGTTCAGATCCCACATGAGGGCCAGTGACGCTGTGCCCTCTACAGCTAAGATGGTGGACAATGACTCAACCTGGAACTGGGCTGCCATGAGTCACCAGCGATAGTGTAGAATGCAGTGGGGCTGCAGTGGGCTGCTGTGGGCTGCTGTAAGCTACCATGAGTGGCTGGCAGCCAGCATGAGCTGCCGTCCAATAGCCAGCGACCTATATGCCTTACCCAGGAAGAGTGCAATGATCACAATACCAACATGGGCCAGTAAAGCGACGTCCTCCACAACTAGACTGAAGAACAAAAGGACAGCAACTTGTCTGTTCCTCTTCCCCAATTTTCGAACGCTTTTCCCTCCCCCAATTTCCCAATAAAATCTTAAAAAAAACAATTATCATGTTTTTAAATGTCGTAATGTATCTGTTTCTAGTGATATCTTAAAACTATCTGACCCACAAAAATTATTAATAATTGCATAAATGAAAAGTAAACTAAACTTACACCATCCACTTCTGTCTTCACTTTACATTCCATTTCTTTCAGGTTTTTCATACTCAGGGTCTTTGTTCTAGAGTTAAAGCAGATGGGAAATAATATGTCATTTCTTAATCACTACATTAACCATGAAGAAGTAAAAGTGATGTCATTTTATCTTAGCAATTAGAATGTATTTAATATAGTTTAGATTCTATATCCCATTTGTTTATAAAATACTGGTCAATCTGTATCTTTCTGGGATTCCCAGGAATAGAAGGTAACAACAGAGACATATAAGTAAAAATTTTAAAATGTAATTTACCACGCAGCTGCAGTGCTGCCATGGGGACATGGGGGACAGTTGGAGGAATGTAATTGATAATGTTGTGAATATTTTGTAGGGTGTCAGGTAGTCACATGTCTTGAATCATGGATGGGAAAGAGGCTTGATCACTGCA